GGAAGCCTGCTTCTCCCTCTCCCACTCCCCCTGCTTGTGTTCCTGCTCTCGCTCGCTCTCTCTCTGTCAAATAAATAAATAAAATCTTTAAAAAAAAAAAAGTATTAACCCTAAATATTGCATGTTCTTTTTAGAAAATCTGCTTCCAGTATATATGGTTCTATATCTGATGAAAGATTACCTTTGACCACTATTCATGTACTGTTTCCTGTAGTAAGATCAAGTGGCCTTTCAAAAGCACGTGAACTCTACTGCAGTGAAAAGATAAAAAAAAATCTTTTAAATTCTGGGTTATTTAATTTAGCTGTTTTATTTGAAATCAGAATAATAGTCATTCTCTACCTCTCCTATGTTAACTTTGTGGTTCACCAAATATCTTATAGTACAGGCTTGTATTCTTGTTTAAAACTCTTTTAAAAGACGTGCTAGCAAACTTTTCAGTTGACTAATGCATTTTTTTAAGTTGTGTTAATTAGCTCAAGTTGATAGACACAGATGTTAATTTTCTTTCTTAATTGGAATTAAATATTTAAACCCTTAGTGTTTTATGAGTGTTAAGGTAAAAAATATTTTCTTTTGTCCTTTAATTCTTAATTAATTTACCTCCAAGGCCACCCACATTTACTGCATAGTAACAATCCTCCTCAACATTGTTTGGTGAGTCTAAGAAGTCTGTTAAGCATCTACCATTTGTTGACAGACAGATTTGTGGTCATTTAGAAACAGAAAATGTTATCTCATTATTTTTCATGAAATAGAGGTGTAACTCAATTTGTTTTATTATATTTAAGTGTAGGAACATGTAAAAAGAAAATCTTTAATTATATTAAAAAGCATAGCATTAGGCCTTATGTTATCAAATGTCGCCCCCCCCTCCGTTCTTTATTAACTTTTTTAAGTTTAAAATGGAATTCTCAGATTTGGAATATGGAAATGAACTGGAGGTTGTGGAGTTGCAAAAGATCATTTTTCCTTGGTAAAGGAATTGTTAACACTTGAAACAAGTAAAGTTGTTTATTAGGAAATAAGAGTTACAGAATTGTTAGCTTTTAAAAGTTAAAAGTTAAAAAGTGTTGCCCAACCTGAAAACTGCTATCTTTTCTATATTTGTTGAGATCATAATCTCTTTTCATTCCCACTTATAACATTCTGAAATTTTAATTGATTTTAAGGTTCTATTATAAAGCAGAAAATAAATTGATGTTCAATAAATGGTAAGTTGCTATGTGCATTTTGAAAGAATTATAAATATTTTTTAAAGCAACAAGATTTCCCGAGTATAATACTGTCCTCCTTTCTTTTATTAATGTGAATCTGTTTTTTGTCAAGAAGACATTTTTGTCTCTGATACATAGTTCAGTTGGAGTACAGGGCTGTTTTTAGGTTATGCTGGATTGTATTAAAAAGACTTCAGGGGTTATTGTCATAGATTTATCACTTCAAGCCCTTTCTAACTGATATTTGACCTTAGCTATAATGTTTTTCCTTTTCCATATATATCTCAGGAGCTGAAGCTGACATTATGTTCACTTTTGCTGTTTAAGTCCATTGAGGCTTTAATAAAGATATTTTCATGTTTACAGTGGCATCATATAAAATTTGATTCACCATCTTTCTAATGCTAAATTGATTAGTTTGATTTTATGTTGACGGGATCATTGTGTGGTAACTGCATTAAGGAGGAGTGGATTTGATTGACTTCGTGTCCATTTTTAAATCTGTGTTACTTGTTTTATTTAAAAGCATTTTGTGGCTAAGATAAGCTAAGTGGTATAATATGCCTTTACACATTTATATAATTGAAGTTAGCAGTGTGGCAAAGTCTCTAATCAAAGGAAAATGCTCCAGAATGATGACATAAACTTGAGCTATTTCTTTCCCTGGGTACAGCTGTTATTCATAATAATTTAATGGCTCCTGAAGTGTTTTGTCTTTTTGTTCACATGATAAAGGCTTATCCACCTTGTATCAATTAAAGTGCTTTGATGAATTTTAATATAGTCAAGTTGTTATTACATATACTAAGAAGTTCAGCCTGCTTAGTTAATGGGCGAGTAAAAGGTGCATGTCTTAGGACAATTGTATTGGGATATCTTTTCTATTACTAATTTGATGTTTTAGGCAAGGTGATAATGTAATGGAGAGAATCCTTCCAAAAGTATCTGGTTGTTGTATTTGTGAAGCTCATAAAGAGAAGATACAAAGAATCTTACACAGTGGTATGAGGCTTTGCTGTGCCCTGAGATTAATGTGCCTTTTTACTAGACAGCTTCTGTATTGGTACCATTAAATAGAGTACTAACTACTAATTATGTTGGAGAGGAAGATATATAGGGTTATAATATATGTAAGGAAAGGGAATCTTGTAAAATTGAGTTAAAATAGTGAAATGGGGAAAAGACAAATATTTCACAGAAAAAAATAAAACATACAAATTTTCCCTGACTTAAAATATCTTGACTTAATGATTTTTCAACTTTACGATGATGTAGAAGTGATATAAATTCAGTAGAAACCGTACTTTGAATTTTGAATTTTCCCTAGTTCAGTGATACATGTATAGTATTCTCCTGTGATGCTGGACAGCGGCGGCCAGCTACCAGCCCCTAGTCAGCCATGTGATCAGGAGGGTGAACAACGGATACACCCACACAACCATTCCCACTTCCCTCCTTTTTGCCCCCACCAAACTGGGAAATAAACCCGAAGGCCAGAGGTAGAAGGGGCCACATCTTAGCCTGCACTCCACTTTATTCTGAAGCCTGTCAGGGCCCAGAATCCACGGGTCCCAATGGGTCCCTGCTGTTGGCTGGGAGAAGCTGGGAGAGCTCTGTTTGTGGCAAGGGCCAATAAGCAGAAATGAGAGCCCTCATATGCTGTTGGTGGGACTGTAAATTTGTGTAGGTGCTTTGGAAAAGAGTTACCATATGACTTAGCAATTTGTCTTCCAGATATACCCAAAAGAAATGAAAACACATGTCCATGAATGTTCATAGCAGCATTATTTGTAATGGCTAAAAAGTAGGAGCAACCCTAATGTACATCAACTGATTGGTAGATGGATAAATAAAATGTGGTATATACATACAATGTGATACTCTTCTGCAATAAAAAGCATGTTCCAATGTGGATGAGTCTTGAAAATAGTATGCTTTGTGAAAGAAGCCAATCACAAAAGAGTATATGTTGTACAATTCCATTTATATGAAATGTCCAGAAGAAGCAAATCAATAGAAAGAGAAAATAGATTATAGTTGCCCAGGGCTGGGAGTTTGGAAGAAATGGGGAAATGTGGGGAAACTGTTAATGATTATGGGGTTTCTTTTGGTGATGAAAATGTTCTAGATTTGGTTGTGGTGATGGTTCTACAATTATGTGAATTTACCATATATCCCAGAGCAAACCCTTAGTATATTTAACAAACTTGGTTTAACACACTTTCCCAGAGACTACTCCTATAAGACTTCTTTTCCTTTTCTTAATTTTCTCACTTAATATGTATAAGACTGATGAATCACGGATCTGTATCCCTGAAACAAATAATATATGTTAATAATTAAAAAAAAAGAGGGGCGCCTGGGTGGCTCAGTCGGTTAAGCG